TATTTGAAACCAGCCTTCCAATTAGTGTGCTATGAGAAAAATGCTGAAAAGTATATGTCTTGTTCATAAGCAATCTTCAGTCAATATCATTGTGACACACACCTCTGTAGCCAGGACAGCTACAGCAAAGATTAATCTCTCGTCTTGGTTCAGTCGTAAGACTTGGGAAATTTAGTATGATTTCTTAGCAGACCACTCTGAGATGTCTGGGGGCCGCTTTATTCATACCCCATCTAAATGAGGGTCTCTCCTCCCTTTAGAGAACTGACCAAATCCTTTACAGGTTAAGTGAAGCTCAGGTTGACTGCTAAATAATAGCTTGTTTTCCTAAAGTCCCTGCAAGTAAAAATTGATCAACACTGTAGTTGTACACTAGAAAAATGTTCATGTTCCCCCACTTCCACACAGCTCTAACCTCTGCATGATGAACTTTGCTTATGTGTCAGTGCTGTTCGTGCAGATGGCACCTTTAGACTCTATTAGGGCAAACATCTCTTTTGAAAACCCCTCTCAGGCTTTCCTGGGATTCCAGTACCTATTTGTGGGGAGTCATTAGGGCTCTCAGATATTACGAGATCTCCTTATGGCCTCACTAAATATCTGCTGACAGACTATGGACAATTTCTTTGTTGCTTCAAAACATCAGAATATCTGAGTCCGACTGCTTGGGTTATACCACTGCCTTGCCATTTAGCAGATGTGTGACTTTGGGTAGATTGCTTAACTGTTCTAAATCTGTTTCCTCATTTTAAAAATGGGAATAATCCATATTGCCATATTCTTAACAAGGGTATTATGGAGATAAACACGTTAACTCATGTCAAATACTTTGCACAAAGCATCTCACTAAAGAAATACCAAATAAATGTTAGCTTTATCATCATAATTGCTACCAATATCCATAGAAGTACATAAAGGTAAACACATGGACACATGCATTTAAGCACATGAACATGGAACGTGCTGAACATAGACACAGTTATTTTCCCAGCACTTGCAGTTAGGAATGAACCAAGACGGGGAACTTAAGAAGCTTGGGCTGGAGGCAAAACAAACAAACAAACAAACAAACAAACAAAACAGCTAAGGATGCCAGCTCAGTTTGAAGCTGATTGAGTTGAAGTTCCTAAAAATATCCAGCAGACATCTGGACAGTTAGATCTAAACATGGATGTCAGGTCTCAGGGATTCTGACACCAGAGTCCTCAATGCATAAAGACTGGTTAAGATGCTGTGGGTGGAGAAGATACTAAAGACAGCCTATAAAATGGGAAAAGATCTGGGCCTCAGAAGGAGACTTGGAGAACACTAACATTTATAGAAAGGCAGACAAACAGCATCCCTTGTAGGGAGTTCAGAATGAGTGACTACCGTCACATAATTCAAGAAAAAAAAATGAAACATGGATTCAAAAAGGGCGTAATGGCTGCCGGCATGAAATAATACAGAGGGAGGTGGGAGTAAATAGTCATGGAAGAGAAAAGACTGTAGAAGAAAAAATCAAAGGTTGGGTAAGAGAGATCTGAGGTTTTGCTTTAACTCTCGAGGCAATTCATCCATCCTCTAATTACACAAATATCCATGTGCTTGCCTGCATGAAACCCAATGTTGATTGTGTAAAAATAATAAAGAAATGTATTAATGTACAGGGATACAAAATAAAATGTGTCAGTGTTCCTTCTGCCATGGGTTCCTCCATCCTCTTCTAGGCAGCAAAGAGTGGGTGATGCGAACAAAGCAGGTTAAACTTGAGATCCGATAAGAATTTGTCATTGTTAATAAAGAGAGACATGGCTCATCTTTAACTTAAAAACTGACTCTTTGGTGGCCAAGGTAGCTGCCCCTATTGATCTATTTTAGGACCCATTTGAGAATCACAGGCAAGAGCATTGCCAGGGTGCAGATAAATCATATTTATTTGAAAGACGGTATGGACTTTGTGCTGGGCAGCTCTCATGCTTAATCAAAGTGTGCACTTTTTGGGACAGTGGCACTGTCACCAGTAAGAGTATGTCAGAGGTTATCAGATGTAGGATTAAATCAGTGGTTCTCAGTCAGGGGCCATTTTGCCTCTCCCCCCCTCTACCAGAAGACATTTGACAATATCTGCAGACATTTTGGGTTGCCATCATTGGGAGGTAGATGTTCTCTACTAGCGTCGAGAGGGTAGAGGCCAGTGGCACTGCTAAACATCCTACAATGCATGGGAACAGCCCCCATGATTTCCCCAAAAGAGAATTATCCAGTCTAAAATGTTAACTGTACCCAGGCTGAGAAACTCTAGACGGAACTAATGATCCATCTTCAGTTTACCACATGGATTTTCTCCAAAGGCTTGCATTTGTATTTTATCACTTACAAATTAACTACGCATGTAAAATATTGTTGTCTTTTATATGTAGTGAAATAAGCAGAATCATCATTTTTACTCCATTTTACAGTTGAGGATACTGAAGCTCCAAAGGATTATAAGACTTCGCAGATATCTATGTTGTGCCTATTTATCTCAGTACCCCTTCTACTAAACAAAGAATAACTATTTTGTTTGCAAATAGAAGCTTTGTAGATACTCCCAAAATAAGAGACTAAATTGGTTTCTCATCTTGTATGAGAGCTATATTCCTATAATTCAAGCTTTTCAGATGAGTCACTAGTAGGTTCCACAAAGAAAAGAAAGCCCCTGGAAGTTCTATATGAATGCTCTTTTAGGTTCCCAATACCATCAAAGTCCATCCCAAACTCTGCTGCCCTAAGGAGTATGGCAGAGATAATTCTGGTATACATAAGGCCTTAGGCATGTTTATTAGGCATACATTGTTTCACACCTGGCTATGCTTTGTTCCTAACCCAAGCTTTGGTCAAATTAAATATAAGGCTCATGCCAAGACCAAAGCAAGCTACAAAACAGTTTATTCCAAAATCCAGCCTCATGTTGCAAGACCGTAAGCAACACACACTTAGTAGCACCAATGTGTGCTTCTGCCAGCTTAATTGCAAAGCTGACTCAAACATAACACAAAAAAATCCTCCGTGGGGATGAGAACACCAAGTTTACCAGTCTGGAATCAGAAGATGACCAGAGGAAACATTTTCTAAGAAACGACACACCTCCCCATTACTGTGCGTCAAGACAAAAGGTGGTGAGGCCAAGATGATTTTGGAGAAATGCCTCAGAATCTCAGGAGAGATGTCTTTTTTCCTATTGCATTTGTTCTTTAATGAGACTAATAAGTCTCACCTCCTTAAAAGAAATCATCTTGGAGACTAAGAAATATTGATATCCCCAATCAATGCTCAAGATCATCTCTTTCCCTTTTCCCATCAGAGAATGAAGGTGCAGCTAAAATTTTTCAGGATCCTCTCAGAGATCATACATTTCAATCTACATTTAAAGCTGACTAAATATACTTAAGTGCCTACTTTAAACACCATTCTGTTCTCCTGATGGACCACAAGAGCATACATAAATGGATCATTACTCTGACAGGGAAACTTACATTGACCGCGCGAATAACTTAGCCATGCCATTAGGTGGAGAGCAGCACAAGGGTCTAAAGCTTTGCGACTCAAAGTGCGGGCCATGGCTGTGGAATCATACTGCAGCTTGTTAAGAATGCAGAATTCTATTCCCACCCCAGACCTCTATTAGCATTTTAATAAGATCCTCAGGGGATCTGCAGCACTTTTAAGTTAGAGAAGCACCGTGTCTAGACTCAACAACCTTTCCTAAAATCCAAGTATCATTTTGTGTCTTAGAAGTAAATGCGTTTTTTTGTGAATCCTCTTCCTTTAGTAAATGTATAATTAAGGACATTTCTGAAACAGAACTGTTATCCATCTCATTTTAGAGATGTTATGCTTCTTAACAGGCCCATTATAATAGGCAGGTACCACTAGCAATTTCCAAGATCGGAAGAGGTGAGCAGAGAGAAAGGAAGGAAGAAAAAAACATCATTGTAAAGCAGAGCAATTATACTAGTCCAGTTGTACTCTTTACTTTCTCTCTCTCTATTTATTTATTTATTTTTGGTGGGGGTGGATAGGGTCTTACTCTGTCACCCAGGCTGGAGTGCAGTGGCATGATCTCAGCTGCAACCTCCACCTCCAGGGTTCAAGTGATCCTCCCACCACAGCCTCCTGAGTAGCTGGGACAACAAACTCATTCAACACACTGAGCTAATTTTTGTATTTTTCTGTAGGGTTGGAATTTCACCATATTGGCCAGGCTGATCTCCAAGTCTTAACCTCAAATGATCTGCCCGCCTTGGCCTCTCAAACTGCTGGGATTACAGGTATGAGCTACCACGCTCTCGCTCTTTTCTACATGTAAAATTTTAGGCAAATAATTCATTTCTTTCTTTCTTCCTTTTTATTTTTTTATTTTATTTAGTTTATTTATTTATTTATTTATTTATTTATTTTGAGACAGAGTCTCACTCTCTCACCCAAGCTGGAGTGTAGCGGTGCAATAGCTCACCGCAACCTCCACTTCCCAGGTTCAAGTGATTCCCCTGCCTCAGCCTCTCAAGTAGCTGGGACTACATGTGCCCACCACCACATCCAGCTAATTTTTGTATTTTTAGTAAAGATGAGGTTTCACCATGTTCGCCAGGCTGGTCTCGAACTCCTGACCTCAGGTGATCCATCTGCCTCGGCCTCCCAAAGTGCTGGATTATAGGTGTGAGCCACCACACCCAGCCAGAAGTCATCATTTCTATGTACTTTACTTAATCTGTGGAGGCTTAGGCATGTGAGTCCATTCAGGAAGCCAAAACTGGACTCGAAGAACACCATTGTCTCAACCAGTGAGCACAGGTGGTACAGTTCCCACTCTTGCTTAATCTAAGCAACTCCTAGATTGCAGATACCTGGGGAACCAAGGGCCTCAGCTGCTCCTCACCTGTGGAGAAACAACTACATATCTTCTACCTAAGATTTTTTTAATTCTCTCCTCATATTCATGTCATTATTGAGATTCAAGAAAGACAAGACAGACCCACCTGGAATCTCCGCATGTCACGTGGGTTTCCCGCATTCTTTAGGCAATTTTGGTTACATTTGAGGAAAAATTTCAAGAAGAACCTGTGAAGAAACAAATCATCACGGTTAACATTTCACTTTCTGACATGGGAGGGAAAAAAAGAGGTAATTCACCCCTGGGTTGTGCATTCGATTCTCTTTACACGTTTGCCGAACTATTCAGCATGGTGTTAGAGCCAGTATTTCATCTGTGGCCTTAGCCTTTATTTTGTATCCACATTGGACCTTCCTTATGACAGGAACACTCTTGGCACTGCCAACAGATCTCACAGAAGAATTAAGCCCCAAGGAAGTATATTCACTTTTACAGAGGAAGAGCTTTCATCATAATTTAAGTTCCAATTGGATATAATTGTCTGAGAATTACTCATGGTCCCCAACAACAACATGTAATTTAAGCCCTACAGACTCACAGATGATGAACTGGCAAATACACGCTGGATGAATACAAGGATTTAGTAAACACTTTTTATCTTAGCCTCTCAAGTAAAATGTTTTAATTAGTAGTACTTATGAGAAATAAGTAGAATTCACAAAGTGACTAAACTCCTTTGACTTCTCAAATGCCTCCTGAATGTTTTTCTTAAACTGTCTGCTGTAGACACGAGTTAGCTGTTGACTGAATAAAGATTTTCCTGCCTCATTGCCACCTTGGTTTCTGAATTGGTTCTATAGTAAGATTCATGGGTTTTACTTGCTAAGGTGACCAAAGGCCCCAATTTGCCAAGAAAAATCCCAGTTTATACCAGCTGTACTAGTATGCATTAATAGTAACTACTTTAACTCTCAAAAATGTCCTGGTATGGGTGATAAATTATATGGTCACCCTGTAACTTTCTGAGTTATTTCTTATGTAACCATCACAGTTGTTAATGTCCATCATGGAAAAGCAGCAGCCATTAAAAGTGTCATATTCTGGCATTCATGTCAGCCACCTGTAATTAAAACCGTCTACCTGCCCAGGTTTGGGAAAAGAAGTATTTCCAAAGATACCTAAGTTCTACAATCGCTTTTACTATTAGGCCTAGATGTGATGTGTTTGTGGACTTCAGGCCCAAATATTTCCTAAAAATATCAAAATGCATTAAAATGCTGGTCAATGGAATTTTTGTCATAATTCTCTTTTCTTTCCCTTTCTTCCACTTTAAGACCACACTGGAGTAAAATCCCCACCTCAACCCAGATAGATTATGAAGAGCTATCACCCCATGATGCCTCAGTCTGAATTTGGCTCTGACTGCAAAGTCTGTCAATCACGTAACACCGGGGTCCTCTATAACAAGGGCACTGAACGAAAATATACAGAGTTCAGCCAATTTCTGAATATGAAAATGAGAGAAGTCCCAGATGACTCCCTTTCATCCTTGGTCTCTTAGAATCTGCCAAGATGGGAGTATGATGTGGGAATCATTCTTTAGAGAGAAACAATGGTTTTTTTCAACCCAAAGAGTAACATTTAAAAATGCAAACATCTTCCTGAAATGACTTTTTAACGCCACACAGTATTTGACTGCCCATCAATGAAAGCAGGCCTCTAAATAATCATCTGCCCCTACTTCCAGATTCTCTCCACAGAAGCCAAAGTTGATCAACCTTTCATCCAAGACAAATGGCTTATGGAACACTGCTGAAGCCCAGCTGTGTGAAACAAACTCCCCTGGTACCAAGACTCACGCTGCCATTGCACAGGCAAATCTGCCAGTCACTGATTCCTGCCCACTTTCCATATGATCGATTTGGTAAAGAAAGGGGATTAAGGCAGTGGCCCAAATCCTAAGTGCCTTTCTACTGTCTCATTCGTCTGACCTCTCAGAAGGCAAGTGCTGAGTAGCCCTGCTGATCACACATGGCTTTCAGAAATTAATACAGTGGCGCTGATAGTTGTGATCCTCCTACCTTACTGGGGTTCAATCCTATATCCAAAGACACTGAAGACAGGAAAACTGGCTGTGCTTTCAAGAATAGCTAGTTAGAACAGCATATTTCAAAGCTACTTTGAGCCCCAGGAGAGGGTCGAGTATCACTAAACTGACGAGAGTGGATGTGGTATGGTGAAAAGCCACAGCCATCAGAAACACCCAGAATGAGATTCATATCCTGACTCTACCAGGTATAACTGTGTGACTTTGGATAAGGAGCTGAAGGTCTCTGCACCACACTTTCCTTATCTACAAACTGGGTATAGTAACAGGCCTTACTGTATGGGGAAAATGTGAAAATTGAGATAAGACTTAGTGACAGACGCATGGTAGGCATCCTGAGGGTGGCAGTCATCATAAGAATGGCTTCTGTGTATTGGGTGCTTACCTTGTGCTCAGTGCAATACTAAGAACAAATCCGTTTTCTCATATAATCCTCCCAAGTAACCTCTGCTATGAATCCCATTTTACAGATAAGGAAACTGAGATTCAGAGAAGTAAAATAACTTGCCCAAAGGCTAGGAAATGTGAATCCAGAATTCAGATTCAGACAGTGTAGCTCCGGAGACTGTATACTCTTCTCTTAGCCAACATGCTATGATAGTTTTAGGAATGATAGAAGCAGTACAACAATAATGTTAATACTAACTATACCATTGATAGCAATTGTACTAATAAGAGGAAATAAGGGTACCAAGTAAACGAGTAATGATTAGCATCACAATTTCCACAACAGCAACATGAACATTATGGAGGTAGACGCCATTGCCATTCTCCCTCCAGTGGGCCCCCCTGCTTGCTTCCCCAGGGTTGGTAATATCAGCCGCCTGTGTGTGTTTAAGCCATTTGAGCCCAGACCCGACAGCCAGATTCAGGTTGTGCTAGAAGGCGCTGTCAGCACACCCTCTGGCATCTTCAAGTCAGACAACTGCTAGCCACCGTGAGGGGGTCCATCTGGTGCCAAAATGAATTTTGAAAGACAGGCAAACAGGACACCAGCTCTGCCAGGGAGAAACAGAATCAAGGGAGCAGGGGATCTTCTGCCTCAAAGATGAGCTGGGGCAGGGCGCCTGTCAGCAGTCCATCGTTAGCACAAAAGCTATGCCGGGCACACACCAGATCCCTGTTACCCTAAGCTGGCCTGTCACTTGACGTGCTGGCAGAGTCCCCTGCCCGCCCCCTCAACAGTGGATCACTTGCTGAAATTGAAGGCTTGACCATCTGTCGTGGGGAAGACACGGCCGTCAACTGGTGCCTGAGGCCTCACACAAGCCCTTATGTGGCAAAGACGCTCTGAGGAGCCAATTCTTTTGGGGAAAGCCAGCCCTACCCCAGGGGGAGCCTCAGAAATTCTTTCTAAGTTTTCCCCTAAGTAAAAGCCAAGCGCCTGACCCTTTCGGATCACACTTCCTTAAAGGAACCAAGAGGAGTTAGAAGGAGGAGTTAAAAATATCCCCACTGAGAGACAGCCGTGGCACACGAATTTGGGGGATGACTTATCAGGCTAAGTTTATAAGGCCTTTGTCAACCAGGGGACACGTGCACATCTGCTGGCCTACGGAGAAGATCTCAGGTTCCGAGGGGGCTTTTAACAAAGTGGAGGTTATTGTAACTCAAAACCTCACTTTTGTCTAATGAATTGCTGCATTTTGTGAGGCGGGTGTGTTTGATAAAGTGTTGTCAGGAGAAAAAGTGTGGCAGCCGTACCCCAACTGTGGGAAACTGACCCACAGCAGGACAAAGCCCCTATTGACCCGGTAGAGTTCCAAGGAGTTCCATAAACTCCAGGAAACAGCCTGACCAGGATCAAACTCCTTTTTAACTCAAGTCTTTTTTTTTTTGAGGTGGGAGGGAAGGAGGTAACGAGAAACTCGACATCTCTCTGTTAACTCTCAGAAGGAATAATATCATCTTGTGTTCATGCAATGCACTAATTATTCAGAGCACTTATATTCCTAATATCTCACTGAATCCTCATGAGATTCCTATAAATTAGGCACACCAGGAATTATCAAAGTCATTTGAAAGGCAAGAAAACAAAGACAACAAAATTAAGGGATTTATCTACAGTCAACAACCAATCTCCTAAACTGGCCAAAAGGACTAGTCATGGTATGTGTTTTCCATGAACTCTAGGATTTTATAAGTGATCTTAGCCATCACTTAGTCTAAACTCCTCATTTTGCATATGAGAAAAATGAGATATCAGAAGATATGGCAATATTCATATAGTTAATAATAAATATCAGAGCTGAAACTATAAGCCACATGTCCTGATGTCTAGTTATATAATTTTCCCAACATAATATTAGCTTCTCAAGCCAGTGCTATAAGAGCTGAACACCTGCACTTTTGAACTGTTTAGTCTACTACCTCCAATGGGAAAGTGATATCCTATAAAAGTTGTATTTGAATTCATCAGTCAGGCCAATGTAGGACATTAGCCCATCATGGAACTAACTGAACCCAACAAAAACATTTGTAGAACAAAATTGCTTATTCAATAACATACCTGTATCACCTTTTACAAATCAGTAGATATTAGTATTTGGCTTGAGTAGCATCCACAGGAGTACTGTGCTGGTAGTAGCTGACCAGCACAGTACTTAAGACCAAAAGGTAACTCTGGACTCCCCCAAAAGGAAAATTAGTTTAATTACTCGGCAAGATCTGACTCATCTACATGAGTATGTAAAATTTTTAAAAAGTCACCTCTGCATACATAGTGCCCGGCATAAGACCTGGAACCCAGTGGGTTTTCAGTAAATACTTGCTCAACTAAATGTAGTCTAGGGCCTCCAAGGGATAGAATTTGAGAGTGTTTTTACAATAGACAGCAGTAGAGTATACTGGACAAAAGCTTGCATTGGAGCTACGACAAGCCTGGGTAAATTTCAACAATTCCCTGAACCTCAATGGCCTCATTAAAACATGAGAATAACGGTACTTCTCTCCTAGGATCACTGTGCAGCTGTCATCATCATCCTAGCTTTACTCCTTAATTGGGTGACTTTTGACAAATTATTTAACCTCTCTGTGCCTCAATTTTCTCATCCGTAAGATGGGGAAAACAGCAGAACCTACTTTAAAGATTTAATGAGAATTAAACGAGTTAACATAAGC